TACACACACACACACACACACACACACACACACACACACACACACACACACACACACACACACACACACACACACACACACACACACACACACACACACACACACACACACACACACACACACACACACACACACACTGTATGGATGGAGAACTGATAAGATTTTCCTGAAATCAATGTAGGGATTAGATTAAAATGATATATTTTAAACTAAAAATTAAGCAAACAGAAAATAAAACTACCTTTATTCCCAAACACATGCACAAAACCAAAAACCATAAAAAAATAAGAGATTTAAATCCAAACATACTGTTTCAATCTATTACTTAAAAATGTTATCTTTAACAGCCTAGCCACTATCTCACCTAATGCACTACAAAAAATCTAGCATACTAACACAACTGAAATACCCTTACAACAAACACAATGCTACAGCTGGCACACTGTCATGCCTAACACACTTACGTCCTTCTGCACTGTACTGCCCCGGTGAACACTGCACTGGTGTGGAGGCAGCATCTGCACAGCCGTAAGCTGCAGGGCACGGCTCACATTGGGTCCAGCCTATGTCAGAGTAGGTACCTAGAGAAAAGAAATATGAACTGTTACAGTAACAATATTATACAGAGTAGAAAACATTATATATTTAGATCTTCAACAGTATAAGTTTTTTACTTCAAAAACAAAAAATTAGTATGTGAAATCACAATGAAAAGCAAGGGTACAAATTATAGTCCAATTCGAATACACATAACAACAAACTAAATTTGAGGCTGAATAAATGAAAAATTATATCTACTGAAAATGTATCTATTTAATAAAGAAAATATCAATAATTTATAAAATGAATACAAAATTAATAAGTATTTAGTGTATTACCTCCAGGACAATCTTGTGGTGGGGACTGAGGGTTGGTACAGTACTGTCCCCGTGGACACACAGTGCATGTGCCATTGCCTTCATAGGCATATGTCCCAGAGGTACAACTTGTAGGAGCTTGCCTGGGTGGAAGATTATTAAAATGTTTGAATCATTATTTATATTAATTATGTAAAACTTTTATAACAGATACTACACAGAGTTTGGGAATTCCTCTTCATATTTTTTCTTAAAAATGTATAGATTTTTTGATTATAGAAAAGATTTATTTTCTAAGATATCTATTGTTCATTTTTTCCTTTTACTTTTGCAAAAAGTATCATGGTTCCTGTTTTCAAAGCAGAAAAAAATCTTTTTTGGATATTATCTGCATTGACTAGATACTTACGTTGGGTCTGAGCATTTTCGTCCTGCTGGACATGGAAGACAACTGGACTGACCGGGACCACTGGTATACTCATCTACAAAGAGTTCAAATTAAAACGTTTCAATCTATTGTTATTTATAACCTCTCAGAAAACTATTTTCAGTGAAGTCAGAAAGTGTTACAGTTTACACAATTATAAGTAAAATTCACAGTTTACACAATTTTAGGTAAAAATTTTCAAAGAACCATCATTGTTCATATGCTTACTTGACTGACAGGCTGTACAAGTTGTCTGTCCACCAATGGACACAAAGCCCCGCCCACACTGTGAAGGTGCTGTGGCTGGATTACTGCATTCAAAACCTACTGGGCACAGCTCACATATTGCAGCACCTAAAGTAAAGGAAAAATTTTTATCTTGTCTTAGGTCATTACAAACTACAGACCTTTTCCACTGCTTTTAAACTTCATTATAATGGTAATAGTAAATTTAACATACTTTCATATCCAATGAATTATTTCAAATGCCACACCACAATGTCAAACCAAACACAATATAAAATTCAACACACTGTCACACCTATTATATCATACTAACTTTTACTAACATAAAACAGGCAAATATTATGTCACATAAGTGTGAGATCTCTGTCCCATAAAATGTGCTCACATCCCTACCCTTAACACCAGTCACAACCTGTGATACATCTAACACAGCACTGTGTGACATACTGCCATATCTATTATACAACTCACAGACACAAACACACTTATTCAAACATTTCACTTCTCTCAGATCTCTCATTTCCATTTAATAACAAAAACATTATGATACCAACTCTAACATCTTTTCAAAAATGTTCACCTTTTTTCTTTTTTGCAGACATTATAATATGATTATTAACTTAAAGTTTTCTGTGAATGCATTTTTTCAATATTCAATATTATAATAAAATACCTAATATATTATAAAATACTCACTATTCAATATTACAGTTTTATTATAATTTTACTTAAGAAATTAGAGAAACTGCCATTTGTTACTTTCATATTTTAAACAATATAAATGTACAAACTTCAACATCCCACAAAATTATAAAATTGCACACTAACCTGCATAACTATAATTTCCAGGTTGACACTGGTGACACAGAGCGTCACCCGCAAAACTTTCAAATCCCGCTGCACAGGCCTCAGTGTCATTCCTGTGAGGACATCCAAAACCCGCAGGACATGTTACACAAGTTGTTTGACCTGAAATTATGAATATCAATCTTTTATTTCATAATCATTGAACAAAAAGATACAAAATTATAGAAAACAAAAACAGCAACAAAATGTGAATTTTTCACGTTGATCTCAAAAGTGGAACAAAAAAGGGCAAAATCAGCTTACGTATTGGGTCCCATGAAATGATAACATGAAGTGCAATTTTCAGTTTACAAGTTATCTTACAAAATTTTTAACCAGTACATTATATTCCTCATTCTAACTTACCTGGAGTGTTTTGATACGTTCCCTCTTCACAATACACAGGTGGCTCATAGGGCTCAGGACACTTAAAGCCAGCAGGGCAGTTCTCACAAGACGCACTCCCATTAAGTGCATACTGACCACTGCTACAGTCTGTGGGGACAGACGTACCAACGGGGCACGCTTTTCCTGCGGGACACTCGTCACAGCTCACCGAACCTGCAGCAAAGCTGTAACTACCTGCTGGACAATCCTGTAATGAATATGGAAGGTCTGATGAAGATCTAAACTAAGGGTCAACACTGAAGAAAGAATCTCTTTCTTCCCTTTTTTTTGGTTGGGGCATTTAGCAATATCATTATCCATAGTTAATAAGTTATCACGTGGTTCAGCATGTTGATTTTTGTGCCTTTTCATCATCATATCCATTCATCATGGACACTCAACATAACACCTGGAAGGCAATGCTAGTTTTAACTATTAACTTTATATTAAAATATATAGAAAAACATTCAGAAATGGGCACAGATACTAAAATTATCTGATCCTGCTCCATATATGTTGATAAAAATATATTGACAAAGAGAGATTTGATAAAACTGTACCAAAAAAGCAGATATGCTCAGTTCTACATGTGATATGAATATGGTCCATGTGTAACCAAGAAAGCATTCTTGATAAAACTGAAGTGAAAGTGCAGATAAAAACAGAGCTCTATACATTTGACTGAGTTTCAACATAATTCTAATATTGTTCAAACTTTTCCAAAAGAAACAGATTTTAAAATCAGTTTTATTTACCCATCATGTCTTTTACCCATCAACACTGAAACATGAGCGAGCAGGGAGAGAATATCCACCACCCTCTCTTGTTACACAGAAACATCAAGGATAAAATATTTGCAAACTCGAGCCTTCGTTTAGTGAGCATAAATGTCGAAGTTAACAACTGGAGCCACATATTAAGAATCCCAATGTAAAATTAGTAGCCATGAGCACAGCAACAGCACCCTTAAACCATAAATCCAAATTTAGTAGCCACTGTGCTTGTGGCTATTAATTTTAATGCTGAGGCATGGTAATTGATTTATTAATCATCAAACAAAGCTGACCAGCAAAGTGCCATTTGCCTAAGTTGATAATTTATATGGTATCCTTTAAAAGTGTGATATCAAAACCAAATTCAATAAAATCAGAATAACTATGAATCAAAATGGTATTTATTGCAAATAGCAACTGATTGGTGTATTTGTCTATTTCAAACACACCTGTTTGTATAATTTTATCTAATCTGTATAATTAGCACTGGCAATCTGTGAAGTTTGGTGTTATCATATGCACTAGTACAGAAATGTTCAGGACTTCAAAATTAACCTTTTTTTTCAAAATCAAAAAAGCTAATATTTTACACTGGACATCTGTGATCTGTGTTGACAATATATACACTGGATTCCTTTTCTTTAATGTTAAATATTGCCTAAATTTAAAAAAAAATGTAAAAATATTTACTGCAAAAAAAAAAAAAAAAAAAGCTCTGGTCATCTGTCATATCTGGCATTATAAGCACTGACTATATATTCTTTCTTTAAAAATTATTTTATTCCAGGTCTTTCAAATGGTCAGGGGCATACTCACCGTACAGTTAGCTCTGGCAATCTGGGATGTCTGAAAATTATATGTACCTGCTGGGCATGCTTGCATGGATGTACTACCTCCAGGGCAGCTGAAATCATCAAAATATTTAGCTTAATTTTTAAAAATTTTATCAACTAATTCAAATTAACCCCAGAGCAACCGTTTGACTTAAGCATTCATTAATACATTAAGTTCATCTTATTAAACCCATGCTGTAATGTTCAAAGATTGAGAGAGAACAGAGAAGCAAAAGCAATCACTAGTACAAACAGTTAATTTCAAATTTTGGACTTAAATATGATAAATGGTCAGTTCTCATAATCAGCCAGAATATCAATTGCTATTTCAGATTCCTTCAGTCATTTTTTCAAGACTTAACCAACTTTTTCATAGTTATCTCTCTTTTAAATACGGAAAACTAAATAAACATTCTTAATGTTTTTATTTTTTTCTTTATTCATTTTGTATATCTACTTAAATATTTTTGAGTATCATTTAACGTAACCATTTTTCTATATCGTTTGACTTAAAATTCAATGCCAGTTTTTCTTAAGAAGTAGAAAGAGGAAGTAAAAGCAACTTGCAAAGCCTCAGATATCTCGGCATTTGTTAAAACATTTCACTTCTTACAAAGAATTCATCAATACCTTTTTGTTAAGTTATAAAGTAAATTTAGTGGATTTATTTTTACTTCAGTTTACTGGGTAGACTGTTGTCAGAGGTTGACCTGTACAGCTGACTATACTGAGCCAGTTTTGAGACAGAGGTTGTATTCTACTTGCTGGTGAAAAGTAATATACCATACACTGTATATACACTATCCTTGTGCAAAGCTTTTAATTTTCTCTGTCAACAAAGATTACAGCACACTCTCTTTGCCAATAATACATGGAGAACACTTCACACTGAAACAAAATAGATTATAATAATACATCAGAAACAGGGCTGTATCATTTCATCTTTGATATAAAATAATAAGTTATTATATTTCTATGCTCAGGAAATTACGTGTAGTTTAAAAACTAATTAATTCACAAAGCAAAAAGATAAAAAAGATTCTTGCCATTTATCAATTCCCCACTGTTTCTGGGACAAATAGTAGTATTATATCACCCCTGTCTTGGTGCAATCAATACTGTTAATACTTAGACAAAAGAGCCACTCCACCTGACAATGCTGAATATATTTGCTTTGCTTTGCCTAGGAATAGCAGAGGTACTTGTCAAACAATAAGATTTTAAAACACATTTCATTAAGCTACATCAGCATGCAGCTCTGAACTCACATAATACCCTTGCTCTGGGTGCAATGACAAATATTTGGTCCTCATACACTTCAATAAGCACCTAACAATATATCTGTAAGGCAAACACTTTATCAATACAGTGTTTGGCCTCGTCTCCATGTATTGCTCCATGCAACATCCAAACAACATCTCTTTGAAAAAGGGTTCCGTATTATGTAAATTTTCTAAAAGATTTTAAATTGGATTTTATCCTGTATTTGAGACTAAAAGGCAAAGCTGACCTCGATTTTTTTACTACAAAGATGAAGAAGTTATTTGTGTTTATATTAGGTGTGGTTGTTGGCTAATTAATCAACAATATACGGTGAAGCTAAAGTAAAGTAGTACTTGTGTATACGGAGAGAGGAAATAAGCTATAAATCCTGTCCGACTTACTGGTAAAATAAATAGTCAGAATGGCAGTAAGGAAGTGTTGTATATGTAATGAGATTTCATTGCCTTGCTTTATATAGCATGGTTTATAGTTATAGATAAATTTTTTTTTTCGAAAACTTCCGTGGCTATGATAACTGAAAAATATTTTAATTTGTCACACATATAATGGATAGAGAGGCAGTCTTTTGGTAAAAAGGATTTGTAAGTATTACTCTGCAAAATTTGAGCAGCTGTCTCCCTTGCTGCATTTAAATCTAGGAAACTGCCATTGCCACAGAACTTAATAATGGCTTAATCGCAACTGAAAGTTTAAAGAACTTTAGGACAAGGCATTAGACAAAAACAGTAATTTATGAGTTTTACTTCCTGTCAATATATAAGATTTCTTACAACTTCTTATTTATTTACTTTTTTCCATTAGGTACAGACACAAAGGCTAATTTCTGTATAAATATAAGCTATTTTCCTGATTGATTACCACAAGCACATATGACATATGCTATTTTTGAAATATTTAAACTTCATTAGTTGTAAAATTTGAGATCATATGCTTTTCCAGGAAAGAATTTTGAAAAATATTTTTGGAAGAATCTTTGTTTAGAGTTTTTCCTGTCTGTTAACATAATTATATTGCATTGGTTAATTGTATTGTAGGCCTGTGCATCCTCTCCCCAACTCCCATCCCCGATCCCAAGGAAACTTCTTGGCACTGTGTGCAAAAGTTTATCATATGATGTACCAAGAGATGGGAGTGAATTTTGGTCAGGTAGATAGAAATGTAGAAAATTGAGGCAATGCATTTCCCAGTGTAAGGCTAATTTCTCTATAGTACGAATTTTGCAATCAAATTATGCTGATTCCTTAACTTAAGAATATTATTTAAAAAAAGGAATAATTTGTCTAAATACAACCAAAGGTATTTTGAAATTTATATATTAGGCCATTATATGAATTTTTCCCAGAAACTGGAATATTTATCAATAAAATGTTTAACAGTCTTATCTTTGCAGTTTTGATTAAATTTATTTTTACTGTCAATTTTTTTTGCAGAATATTGTTTAATTCATCAAACATTCAGCATAACAATTGATAACAACAAGAACAACAACAACAACAAAAAAATAGGTATACAAGTGATAGTTATCAGTAAATTAATTAAAATATAAAAATAAACAAGGAAAAATGATTACAATAACTGAAAAATTGTTTTATAGAAAGTGGTGAGATAAAAACATAATAATGGCTTTCACTGACCATTTTTTTCTATCAATTTTTTTATGTATTCTTTGCAAAGGGACACAGAGCTTTTCCATCATCAGGAAAAAAAAAGAATATTTGAACAGCAATTATTTCTTCACCAATGTCAATGTTTCTGTTGTGTTTGTAAAATGATGCTTAAAGCTGATGGTATCCATGTTTGTGCAGTGGTTTCAAATTAAAGGTAAATACATAAAATCCAAATCTATTGAATTTCAGTTTAATACGACTGTGTTTATGCAGCGAGAACAAACAAATTCAATGTTATATATTAGATTTCAAGTTATCTCTATATATGCTTGGAGCAGATACAGGATGTCAAGTAGATATTTAAAAAAGACTGAAATATTAGCTAATGCTTGCTTTTAAAATTTTCATCAAACTAATTTAAAGTATACAAAAAAAAATGAAATATTTCTTTAATAAAAAATAAGGAATTAGTGTCAATGTTGAAAAGAATGATAATTTGAAAGGAAAAAAATTTATAATACATTTATTAACACTTTATCACAATTTAAAAAAGAAACCCATAAACCATTTAAGTAGCAATAGAAATCAGTAAAAGCCAAAGGGTAATGCTGTAAGTCAACTTAGCCAAAAGTTGTTGAAAGTTTTAAAGTATCAGTGGCAACAGAGTGCTCAAAATCACAGGATCAGCCAAAACAAGTTCTTTCCTATCTTGCTGTAATCGGGATATCTCCTATCCATAACAGAGCATGCATAATGTACACTTAACAGGATGAATGTCCCCCACCAAATATTGACATTTGGCCCTGTTGTCTGTGACACAGAGATAAGACGAGGCAATTTGCAACCATTTTGAAAAGTCTCAGGATCCTAATGGTGGCTGAATCAACACGCAACACACACAGACTGGCTTTTTTTACAGTCACTTCAAACAAAAGTCCACCCCTTTTGGCCCATAAGCGATCACGTAACTCTGCTATCTTGACTGACTGCAGAGCTCATTATCTGATAAGTGTTTTTTTTAAAGACTTTAAAGTTACCAATACAAAATATCTTTTTATCCCTAAATTTTTTTTTCCAATCCCTTAATCTTTATCGATTTTGTAAACTTGGGGCAAACTGATTTTTTACCAACTATATATATGCTTTCTCATACCACACCTTACCACATATTGTTTAAAAGCACTCATCAATATCAATCATTAATATTACTTTGCTTTTGACAGTCTTGCCAATTACTTAATCCAAAATCATAAAAATATCATTTGTTTTTGGCATAAATAAAAGCACTTTTAGCCTGCCAAACATTAATCAACCTACATACTGTATATACATAATTCATTTCTTCGGTGGAATACTGTATTTCTTTTGATGGAGTAGCTATAAACAGTAAATAGATATTAGTCCAGGAAATTGGTGAAAAATTGTGCATTTTTTACCTACAAGCATGAAATTTGGCACACTTATGGACAATAAAATTCTAAGGAAATTTGGATATATGGGCATGTCTGAAAATTCCAAAATGGCCGTCAAATCCAATATGGCCACCAAAATACCTTTTCAAATTAAAACTTCAAGTACATAGTCTTCTAATGACTTAAAATATCATATAAAGGTTGGAAAACACCATAGTATGAATCCTTCAGGTGTATTAAATCCAAAATGGCTGCCAAAAGTAAAAAAAGCAGACCATTTATTCAAGATATCCATTTGAATGGGGAATTCATCAAGCACTTAAAACTACAAGCATAAAATTTGGCAGGTTTGTGGAAAATGAAATTCTGAGCAAGTTTGGAT